CCGACAGAGAAGTTCTGGAGAAGGGGCGAGGGGCCCATATTCTTCTACACGGGCAATGAGGGCAGCGTGTGGTCCTTCGCCAACAACTCGGGCTTCATCCTGGAGCTGGCGGCACAGCAGGGGGCCCTGGTCGTCTTCGCGGAGCACGTGGGTACCCGCACTGGTGGCAGGGGAGGGCGGGCGAGGGCGGGCGGGGCCAGGGCTCAGCCTCTCGTCGGCCACCTGCAGCGGTACTACGGGAAGTCGCTCCCTTTCGGAGAGCGGTCCACACAGCGCGGGCACACGGAGTTGCTGACCGTGGAACAGGCCCTGGCCGACTTCGCGAGGCTGCTCAGCGCGCTGCGGCGGGACCTCGGGGCCCAGGACACCCCCGCCATCGTGTTCGGTGGCAGGTGGGTTCTCGCCCGTCTCATTTCTCCCTGAGGCACAAACACGTGGCCGGCCCCAGGGCCAGAATTTCTGGGAGACGCGGAAGTCTCAGGTCCTCCTGGGGCCACCGTGGGCTCCAACAAGGGAGAGCGGAGAGGGGTGTTGGGGAGGCTGTGGCCCCAGGCGCTCTGTGTCCCCGCCCAGCTACGGGGGGATGCTCAGCGCCTACATGAGGATCAAGTACCCGCACCTCGTGGCTGGGGCGCTGGCAGCCAGTGCACCCGTTGTGGCTGTGGCCGGCCTCGGTGACTCCTACCAGTTCTTCCGGGATGTCTCGGCGGTGAGTGAAGGTTCTGGGGCCCGCGGGCCGGACCAGGCTGTGGTGGCAGCTGCCACGATCCTCCTTTCTCCAGGACTTTGAAGGCCAGAGTCCCAAGTGTGCCCAGGGCGTGCGGGACGCGTTCCGGCAGATCAAGGACTTGTTCGTACAGGGAGGTGAGCAGTCCTCCCCACAACCCACTGACTGCCCCTCGCCTCCCTCCTTCCCCCCGGTCTTCACCCAACAGCAGCCTCTGAAGGCCTTCGTCCCGCCTTCTTCTGCCAGCTTATGACACGGTCGGCCAGGAGTTCGGCACCTGCCAGCCCCTCTCCAGCCAGAAGGACCTGACCCAGCTCTTCGGGTTTGCCCGCAACGCCTTCACGGTGCTGGCCATGATGGACTACCCGTACCCCACCGACTTCATAGGGCACCTTCCTGCCAACCCGGTCAAGGCAAGGAGACTCTGGCTGGGATCTGTGGACAGAGAGGGGCCCGGCCGCCCCGGGGTGGCCAGTGGTGGCCAGCCCGAGAGCCTTGAAGCCACTCTGGGGCCTGGGACCAGCGAAGGGTGAGCTGGGGAGAGGGCTGCAGGCCCAGAGTGCGGGTCTTTGGTTGGCACCCCTAGGTTGGCTGTGACCGGCTCCTGAGCGAGACCCGGAGGATCAAGGGGCTCCGAGCGCTGGCTGGTGCGTCTGCCCCTCAGCCCTGGGCCTGGTGCTGAGCGTGGGGGGGTGGGTGTGGCTTGGGGGCAAGGGTCACGTGGAGGCCAGGAGCACAGCTGCCCCCGTGCAGTCCCTAGCCCGGCGGGGGCCGGTGGGGGAGGCTCTGCTCCACGGGGTCTCCGACAAGTTCCAGCCCGGCCACCGCCTGGCCACCCTCAGCAGCTGAGAGCCCCGCCCCCAGGAGCCCCACGCCTCACGGGCACGCGTCCCCCACCGAGGGGGCAGGGTGGCCGTGCAGGCCCCCGGCCCCAGCGCCCCTCTCACCAGGGCTGGTGTACAACTCCTCGGGCACGGAGCCCTGCTATGACATCTACCGACAGTACCAGGCCTGCGCGGACCCCACAGGCTGCGGCTCAGGCCCTGATGCCAAGGCCTGGGATTACCAGGTCCGGGGGTGCCGCACGGGGGTGCGGGGTGAGGTCGCCCGCCCCGCCGGGCTGACCTCGGTGTGTGGCGTCCCACAGGCCTGCACCGAGATCAACCTGACCTTTTCCAGCAACAACGTGACCGACCTCTTCCCCGACCTGCCGTTCACGGAGGGCCTCCGCCAGCAGTACTGCCTGGACACGTGGGGCGTGTGGCCCCGGAGGGACTGGCTGCGGATCAGCTTCGGGGCGGGAGGTGAGGCTTGAGATGGTGGCATCCTTCCCTCTGTGCTGAGCTGACCCCCCCCCACTCCCCTGATCTCCGTGGCTCAGACCTGGGGGGCTGGGCCCGCTCTCCACCCCCACATCTGTGCTTTCAGACCTCAAAGCTGCCAGCAACATCATCTTCTCCAACGGTGACCTGGACCCCTGGGCAGGGGGCGGGGTGAGTCTCCCTGGGTTTGCCAGACTCCGCCCAAGAACCGGCTCTGCCCTCGCCAGGCTGCACACGTGGTTCTGTGGGTTCTGTGCCGCCTTCGCTCTTGTTCCTGCTTTATCCCCTCCTCTCCTTTGCTTTTTTCCCTGACTTCTTTGCGTGAACTGACATCTGGCTCGTTCATCTCCGTCCTTCCCTTTCAATGAGGCCGTTCAAGGCCACGTAGTGTCTTTAAGTCATGGCCTCGGCTGTGCCCCACGGGCTGGGACACGAGGCCCTGGAGCAGGTGGCACCGGGTGGGCAGAGGTGGGGTCGGCCATGGCCCAGAGCACGGCGAGTAGCCGACGGAATGTCCTTTGACCGACACAGATACAGAGAAACCTCAGCACCTCCGTCCTCGCTGTCACCATCCGGGGGGGAGCCCACCACCTAGACCTCAGGTGCAGTCCTGCCCCGCCAGGGGAGCGACGTGGGGCCCCAGGCCGTGGCCGGGTGTGGGCTGAGGTGGGGTGAGGCGAGGCTCGGGCCTGCTGCCCAGCTGAGGCCCCCACGCCTTCTCCTTAGAGCGTCTCACCCACGAGACCCCACGTCTGTCCGGGAGGCTCGCAGGCTCGAGGCCAGGCTCATCGGCGAGTGGGTGGCCGCAGCCAGAAGAGAACAGCGGCTGCAGCTGGCCCAGCGTGGGGGACTCGGGGGGGCTGAGGAGCACTCCCCGACTCGGGACCAGACAGGCCCGCTGGGGAGCAGCTCAGGGCGCTGGGGGTGAGGGGCTAAGGCCAAGGGAGGGGCCAAAGAAGCATCTGGTGGCCTGGCTGTGCACAGCACAGCGCAAAGCATGGTGTCTGTGGTCCTCATGGGGTGACAGATCGGGCACACTGCCACACCTCTCAAACCAGCCTCGTGTTTAATAAAACAAAGCCCTCAACCTGTGTGTGATCTCAGGGCAAGGGGTGGGCGCTGGGGCCCCCTGTGGCCGGCCCAGGTGTCCTTCCGGGTGGCCCACTGGAGAGGGGGGCCGCAAAGCTCTACCCATAACCGCTACCGGGGCTGCACCCCTGGGTGGGCAGCTGCCAACCAGGCCCCTGGGTGCACAGGGGCAGCCGACAGCCATGAGGGGGTACAGACCCCACTTCTGAGACAGGCCTTGGACCCTGTTCCAGGCACAAAACACACGGGACTAGGGGCCAAGAGCAGAAGGCAGCCCCAAGAGCGGCCACCGGCCCCCAGGGCTGCTGGAGCGACAGGAGTATAGAGCGACTGAGAACTGAGGTCCTGCCCAGCACTGGGAGCCTTGGTCTCTGCAAACGCAGAGAGACTCAAGCTTTTCAGGCAAAAAAGACCTTCCAGAAAGAATATCACATAGAGAGGAGCTGGGCCTGTCCCACGGGGCCGCCTGGTTCCAGGAGGCAGGATCCCAAGCAGAAGCTGGGGTCTGTTTCTGGAAAAGCGCCCTGAGTCCGTGCTCAAGGAGGGAAGCAGCAGGTGCTGGAGGAGGAGCAGGTGCAGGGCATCAGCTCCCATGGGACCTGGACTCCGTGTCCACACCACCTCCTCCCACCTCTCCAGCCTGATGGTGACGGTGTGAGTGTGACGCATGCCCCACCCATGGCTCAAGGAACACAGGTTCCATCACAGACACGGGAGACACCAGTCAGGGCAAACCCACGTTTATGCTGCCTGGAAAGTCCGTTCTGTCGGGTGGTCCAGGAGCAGGATGAACTTGTCCACCCGCCCCTCCCCGCCCCTGCAGGGCCGGGGGAGGATCCCTGAGTCCAACATGTAAACACCACAGCCGGCCAGGTGCCCGGATTCGCAGGAGGTCACAAGTGCCCCCCCAGGACTCCCGGGTCAGGGCACATTCACAGACTCTGAGACCCCGGGCTGAACCGCATGTCGGGCTGTCCCTTCAGCTCATCTCAGAACACGTGTGGGTCCAGGAGACCCAGAGCGGCCCCAGGGGACGAGCAGAGACACTGGGGCCACACAGAAGACGTTTGGGGATCAGGAATGTAAGTCATGATTCAAGCAGGAAGGTCCCCAGCAGGTGGGGCCTCGGGGATTCACGGCGCTGACCTCACGACACCATCCGACGTCATGAGAACCACAAGCCAGAAGTGCAAAGCCAGCGGCAAAGCACCGGGCGCCCAGCTGCCCTGACCACCTCTGAGGCCCTGAGACGTCAGGCTCGGTAACCCCCTGGGGAATGTCATCAGCCTGACCCTGGAGCACGGACAGTCGGCCGAGGGGACACGCCGCGGCCAAGGTCGAGAGAGCGAACCTACCCGAGGCCAGGGTTCCGAGGACAGGTACCCACAGACGCAAGACGTGTGAGGCCCCCGGGCAGTGCCCACGGGGGGGGTCACCCCACCCTAGGCGGGGCCCAGATGGGCAAGGGGTGAGCCTCAGTGTTGAACACGTAGGCGTCCAGGCTGAGCAGGGCCGGGTCGTCGGAGAAGAGCAGGTACAGGTACTTGAGCGTCTCCCCCAGAAAGAAGCTCTCCATCTTGTCCCGGGGCTGGGGATTGAGGGGATCCTGGACGTTGCCGATGGAGGAATAACCACCCGAGGGGACCTGCACGAGAGCGGAGACCGCGGCGTCACCACGGCTGCAGGCCCAGCCAGCTCCCCACGCCGGGCGCAGCCCTCGGGGGCGCCGGCGGCCGCAGGGCCCCCGGCCGGGGCCCCTGCGCCTCACCGCGGCACCCGTGGCCAAGGGCAGGGTCTGAGGCAAACGACCCCAAGGTCCGCCGGGGGACCGGCCCCCCGGGAGCTCAGCCGCAGCTCCTCCAGACGGGCCCTCAGAGACGCCAGCCGCCCTCATGCGACCCGACGTGCAGCGCGTGCTCCGGAACCCGGAGGCGGCCTCCCGAAGGCCCCGAGCACCTGAGGAGGCCGGGACCCACCGCCCGGCCGCCACAGGGCGTACGCGGGTCGGGTTTTGGCGCTCGCGCTCTACCGGGGTGGGTGGCGGGCCCCGGACACGGCGTGACCTCCGAGCCACGGCCCAGAGGGCGAGACGGGTGTCGGGGCCACGGTCACGGCGCCGTCTGGGGTGGGAAAGGGCTGCCCGGGGCCACACGGAGGATCCGGGAGGAGAGTCGCCCTGTGCACACCGGGCCACAGAGCCTGGTCCCCGAGACCCTGGGGCACGTGGCGCCGAACTCCCGAGGCCACCGCGAGCTGCACCGCCCCCGCCCTCGCCCCCCTCTGGCTGCCCCGGCTAGGGGAGCAGGGACTCGGGGCGGGGCGGGGCAGGCGCTCACCCGCGTGTACTTGTTGAAGCTCTGCAGGATCTCCCAGCCCCAGTCCTGGTACTTGTGCTCTCCCGTGAGGCGGTGCAGGTAGAACAGACTCTCCACCGTCTCGGGCCGCAGCAAGTTGTGCCTGTCGGCCGGCTGGGCGGGGGAGCGGGGGAGGGAGGGATGGGGGACACAACACGGGCTGAGCTCGGCCGCCTGGGGTGGGGGGGGTGGGGGGTGGGGGGTGGGGGGACACGGGAGGAGCTAGGCCGAGCCCGCAGGGGGCCCCCACGCCCAGACCCCGGCCCGGCTCACCTTGACCTGCACGTCCTTGCGGTCGCTCTGGGGGTACAGGTTGAAGTGCACGATTTCGGGGCTCAGCCCCGTCTCCATCTGGCGGTTCATCTGGTAGCAGGTGTCCATGAGCGCCCGGGCCAGCTCCATGTGGTCGGCGGGCAGGCCGTGGTGGGCGCCCAGAGCCAGCGTCCCTGGCAGGAAGCACACCAGGTGGTCCTGAAACCAGAGCGGTTTCCTCACCACTGTGAGTCGGTGGCCACGTGGGGCAGGGGCGGGGGCGGGGGCCACACCGGGTGCAGGGTCCAGCGCTCCCTCAGGCCCCCCGCATCCCCAGGGGTCGACGGGCCTGAGCGGGGACTTCTCAGGGCCCACAAGGGCAGGAACGTGGAAAGCGACTCCACTACGGGCCCGGCCCCTGGAGCTCCACACGGGCAGGGGGGAGGGTGGCGGACGGACACCCGCCTGCCAGGGGAGCGGATGCTGACCCGGGTCTGGCCCTGACCCCACAAACACTGATGGAGTACCAGGGGCAGGGGACAAGTAACTAGACCCAGGGCAGAGGGCAGAGGGCAGAGGGCAGGGAGGAGAGAGGGGAGGGGGAGGGGAGAGGAGAGCGGGGAGGGGGGAGGAGAGAGGGGAGGGGGAAGAGGGGGCAGGGGGCGGGGAGGGGGGAGGGGCCGGGGACCCATCACAGACCCCAGCCCCCCTCGCCGCACACCGCCGCGCAGTCCATCGTCGACCTGTGAGGGCTCACGCCCCACGACCAGAATCTGAGCCATCTCTCCAAGGTCCAGACTCGCGAAGCCATCGGGGGCCCAGAAAAACGGGTGCGTGCGGCCCCCTACGCCCCACCTGCATCACGACCGTGCTCACCATCTTGGCGCTGAACCGGCCGTGGGCCAGCTCCCCCACAAAGGTGAGCTTCCTGGGCTCAGACCTGCGCAGCAGGTGCCTTTTGATTCCCTCGACGGCTTCGAGGTAGTCTTCCAGTAACCTGTGAACCGGCAGGCCCCGTGGGCTCAGGCCAGGTGGGTGCGCGGCCCGACCCCCCCGCCCGGTTACCCAGGAGCGGGCACGTGGCCACGAGCTGCCATCCCCACGCTAGTGGCCAAGAGGCCTGGCCCTGTCTGGGGTGGCACCACGCCAGCCTGGAGATGCAGGCTCGTGGCAGTCGGCGGCCTGGGGCACACACGGGGCTGTGCCCGCCGCTCCCCCGAACGGGGTCGTTCCTCTCAGCCGGCCCCCGTGGACCACCCGGGACCCCACGTGCCCACCAGGGTTCTCTCAACGTCCCCACGTTCAGGCGTGGGGAACTCCGGCTCCCAGGCGTGATGCCCTGATCTCTGCCCGTAGGGGTCGGCCTCCTGGAGCTGCCCACCCCCAGCGGTCCTGGGCCGTGGTCACCCCCTGGCGTGAGACTTCAAGGATTTCCAGTCCCTTCACTAGAGTGACCTGTGTTTTCCCGACCGCACGACGAGGCTCCCCGAGGCACTGCCGTCTGGGAAAGCGCACGTCTGAAGCGTCAACCAGGCAGCGCGGGGAGGCCCAGGGGCCCCTGGCCACCTTCTGCTGGGGAGCGGACAAGCAGAGCCGCCTCCACAACCCCGAGGACGAGAGCTCGGCCGGTGAGCCGGGGGCCCCTCGGCCGGGCCCAGACCCCAGGCCCTGCCTGGCGCAGAGGGGCCGGGGACCTCCGTGACCAGCCAGGCGTCCTCTCTGGCACGAAGGCCGTGCCGGGAGGAGACACATCCCCCGCGGAGGGGCCGAGTCCGGGTCCGGCACGGCCGCTGCCTCCTGACCGAGAACTCGGGACAAGGGGAGCCTCGGGGACCCCGTCCCCGAGGCAGCAGAAACAGGCCTCACTGCGTCTCCTTCTTTCCGCCCTGGATCCACTGCTTCAACAGGTACTCGTAGTAGCTGTCGGCCCTGGCGCCCAGAGTGAACACTCCCATGTGAGTGAAGAGGCCGCTGTGCGTGTTGATGAACATGGGCACCAGCCCGTCCTTCTTCCCCGACAGGGAGTGCACACGCCTCGTCACCTCCTCTGCGGCCTCCTGGGACACACACACACACACACACAAGGGGAGAGTGCGGGTGAGCCAGGGGGACGGGGCTGCCGGACCTCGGGCCAGCCGAGGAAGGCGGGCCTCGTCGGCTCACCCCTCCTCCGTGACAGGCGGGCCCGTTCCCAGCGGAGGACGGAAGAGGACGGAAGAGGCCGGTGTCCCGGCCCACGGCGCTCCCCTGCCCGGCTGCACCGGGCAAGGGCTTCTGAGGGTGGCCCCAGCCACGCGGCAACCAGGTCCCCACCCTCACACGCGGCTGCCTCGATGAGCGGGCAGATGCCGAGGGCCCCGAACACGGGGCTGAGCTCCTCCTCCTGGCAGGGGACCGTGTCTGAAGGCCACAGCCGCGGTCCCCGGGACCTCCTGCCCAGGCGTGGCCGTCTGCTCCCGCTCGCTGGAGGGAAGGCAGGCGCGTCTGCTTCCGAGCCCGCGGTCGCGGCACACCCGCCCGCCGATCCTGTTCATCCTTCGAGACCCAACCAACCTCAGCTCCTCCCGGGCAGCGCCACGCATCTGTGCTCCATGGCCCTGTGCGCGTTTGCTCGCGGCGCTCGGGACCCTGCCTGGGGAGTGACTTCCTGGCCTCCACCCGCCACGTACGCCCGCCCCTTTTTACAAAGTCCTCTGAGGCAGGAGCGGCTTCAATTTCCCTTGGGTCTCCAGCAGCTACAGAGATCCGGCATCGCAACGGCGCCCGGCCGGCGTCTCAGAGCAAACAGAGAGACGCTGAGCTTCCGGAGTACGAGCCAACGACAGGAAAGCCGCTAATCCGCCGACAAGCAGACAGGCACCCGGACGCCCACCTCCACCCGGGAGATGAACACGGGGCCTGCGGGCGTTTGGAAAACGCCACACGTCATCAGGACAAAATCCACAGCCCAGAGGAGGCACCCTCACGTGCCCACCGCGAAGGCTACCGAGGAAGACCGGAGGACAAGCGCGGGCTGCCGCGGAAAAGCCAGAGCCCTGTGTGCGCCTGGAACCTTCTCCCGGGAGCGCCGCTCTTACCACCCCCGCGTGGGAAACGACCCAGCTGCTCCTCAACGCACGAGAGCCCGGACAGCACGTGGTCCGACCGCACGATGGCAGACCACCGGGCCACGAAAAGGGATGCTTCGGACACGTGCTACGACACGGGTGCGCTTCTCCCGGACGCTTCCAGCGCGGACGAAGACGTCACGCGTGGCGACAGAACCGGCCACAGACGGCCCACGCCGTACGTAGGACCTCGCTCACGCCGAGCATTCCAAACAGAGAAAGCCACGCACGACAAGTGGGTTTGCGGCCACCGAGGCAGGGGGCCCGGGTGGGAGCGCTAGGGTGCGCTGGCCTACTTCCTGAGGCGAGGACCTGGTTCTGGAATCAGACGGTGGCAGCCGCTGCCCACGTGGGACTGTGGCGCGACGTTCAAGCCAAGAGGCAAAACTTCCTGACGTTCAAATCGCAGCTCAGGTTTTTAAGGCAGAGGAAGAGTGACGAGGCAGAGCGCCAAGTCCAGAGGGTCCGCCGCGTCCTGGAGACTCACCCACAAGGAGAGGGACCCCGGCCAACAGGATCGGGGCGAGGGTCAGGAGCGAGGTCCACAAGGACCGTCAGCGACGGGCTAGCGAGGCCGAAACCCACGACCGTGGGCCCCTGCCTCGCTCCCGGCACGGACCACCCCCGGGGGCCACCACAGCACGAGGCAGGGGGCAGTTGGGACCCCAAGGACACGGGCCCGCGCTCGGACTCAGCCCCCAGTCGACACCCTTCCCGCCCGCGCAGCTGAGGAAAGGCGAGGAACGAGGGACTGGAAAGCACACAGGACGGTGGTCCCGCGGCCCGGGGTCAAGTCCACGCACGCCTCCGCTTGGTGTGACGCCTCCGGCCGGCAGGCCGGCCCCCCCGTACCTGAAACTTCTTACTCCCCGTGAGGCGGGAGAGCTCTCGGAACTCCAGCTGAATGCTCGTGACCTCGGCCACCGTGCTGTCCGAGGTCCAGCGGGGCGGGTGGGCGGCTCCGGTGCCGATGTTCACGTCCGAGTATGGGATCCTGGAGGGCGTCTGGAACGCAGGCAGCAGCCGATTCCCAAAGTCTTCCTGATGACGCGACACGACGAGGACCGAGGTTTCCCGTCACACGCCAGCCTCGGCTCCGTTCCACGACGCCCACCCTCCCGCCCCACCCCCGCCACCCGTGCTCACCCCCGTAAGCGGACACGGGACCTCACTGGCTTCACGTGGCCTCGGCGCTCAACAGCGGTGAGACCGAGGAGCCCCGAGAGCGCTTCCCCACGGGTCGCGACGGTGACAGGGACCTTCCCACGCACGTGCGCGGGAGCGAGACCCAGACGACCGGGGAGACGGGAGACCCGGAACAGACCCCCGCCCCCACCCCCCGGGGGCCCCTCGAGCCGCGGAACCTCCACCGGCGCCCGGACACTCACGGCCTTCCTCAGGAAGAGGTCGTCCCCGGACAGGTGGTAGGCGCTCAGAAGGCCGCCCAGGATCCGGATCGTGCTCTCGAACAGGTTGACGTCCACGTCTTTCTGAAACCGGAGCTTCTTAGACACCCACTTGCGGGCTTCTTCAAACTCTGCGACGGGAGACGGGGTGGGAGCGGCAGCAGGTTACAGGTCCCGGCGCCCCCGTGACCGCTCGCTGGCTCTGGGGCCACGTGCGTCCTCGTGTCTCTCTCTCCCGAGGGGCCTCGCCATCACTTCCCACGGCAAGGGGACACACCGCGGAGCCCCCTGCACCCGGAGGACGGGCAGCCAGCGTGCCGTCGTGAGCACCAACGCTGACGGGTAAAGGCCACGGCACAAAGGGCCACGTGAGGAACTCAGGGGGAGCCTCTGGCCTCTACGGAACACCGGAAATGGACTCCGAGAGACCGATTCGGAAGTACCCAAAGACCCGTAGCCTCAACCACACCCCGTCCACGTGGCCTGAGAAGGGTGTGATGGAGAGACCCGGGACGCCGATGGCCTTATAGGATCACGTGCCGCCTCCCACCAGGGAGCCCCTTTCCGGCTAGGACGGGAGCACGGGCTGGAACTGCCCCCGGACGCCAGCCCAGGCCTTCGGCCGGGAGCCGAGGGGGCGACTGCCCTGAGCGTCCCCGGGACGCCTGCCATCAAGGGACAAAGCGACTGCCTGCCACCCAGGGGAAGGGAGAGCTCCTCAGACGGAAACAGTGGCGTCTACACCCTCCAGGGCACGGCTCGCTCACTCGCGCGCCCAAGCGTTCCACCGGGGGAACTTGGCCGCGTGCTCGGGGACGAGCAGGTACCTTTTTTCAGACCCAAAATCCACATGGTGTCCAGGGCGTCAATCAGCGTAAGTCCCAGGCCAAACCACTCGCTGAAGGACCTGGACACGGGTTTCAGCTCGTCGTGGCCCCAGGCGAACTTGCGGTAGCCGGTCCACGCGTGGCGGAAGGCGTCTATCACGGCCCTCTGACGCTCGTTCGGGGAGGCTGGGAGGAAGACGGCGGGTCGTGGGGACCGGAACCGCCCAGGGTTCAGACACCGCCCCTCTGCAGCCCCAAGCCGCGGGGCGCTCAGTGGGGTGGGGGGACACCGTCCGGGGCCGCAGGTCAGCAGCGGACGACCCCAAAGATCGGGGCGCGGCGCCGCCGGGCTCGGAGCCGCACGGCTGGACGCGGCTGCCAAGGTGGCGAGGCCTCCAGGGCCCACACGCGACGGCTCGGCCTCTCATCCGCCTGGCCTGCGCCCGTCCGCCTCCACCAGACGCCCGGCGGGCACGACTCTCTGGAGCTGCGGGGAACGCGCGGTGGGCGGCGGTGTTTGAGGCAGCAGACCGGTGCCTGCCGCTCCGCCACGGCAGCCGCGCTGTGCAATCCGGCCGGGGGAGCATCAGACGTGGCGGGCGGGCCCCGGTGACCTCCACGAGAGCGCCTCATCTCACAGGTGCCCGCGTCGTGCGTCAGCAGCTCTGGGTGTTTTCGGGGAGGGAACAGCGTGTGGCAGACACACCCAAGGCCGCCCTGGGGCCCTCCCAGGGTGGCCTTGACGCCGACCGAGAAGGTTTCTCCCCTCCACACGTCGGAGGACCAGGCACGAGTTACAGGGCCAGCAGGCGGACAGAAACGTGGGCGTCGGCGGCTTCGCGACACGTGTCCTCTCGGTGTGGCCCGAGGCCCAGTCTGCCTCCCCCCACACGCCCGGGCCGCCCGTCCGGGCTCTGGGCTCCTTCTTCCTCCTCCCCTCCTCAGCGGCAACAGCGACAGGACTGGAGGGTCACAGCCCGGGCCCCAGGCTCAGCTGACCCGGCGCGAGCCCCCGCTCCGGGAGGCAAATGGCCGTGGCCGCTGCCGGCCTAACCTCGGTTCTCCCGTCCGTGGAACGGGCCTACGACAGACCGATGACCTCAAAGGCTGCCACGAGAACCAAAGCAGACAGGCCGCACGGGGCGTACAAAGCGCCAGTGCCCCGGGGGCCCCCCACTACAGGTGCCAGAACGCAGGACCCCAGGACCCCACCGAGCCAGGGCCGTGTCTTCGCTCTCCCCGGGCCCCGCGCTGGCACGGACGCGGGCAGTTCCCGCACAGGCGGCCTGTGGCTGCCGCGATGGGCCTGGGACCGCGGGCCGCCGTGGAGCCCCGTGTCCTCCCCAAGGCTCTACAGAGAGCTGGGGCCCGCCCGGGTGCCCAGCTGGGTGTCCACGCGCCCTCTCCGTCACCACGTCCGGGTGAGGCCCGACGGGGCGCAGGCGGGGCCTTACCTGGTTGGTTCTGAATCCCGGGGGCCTGTGAGGAAGGCTTGGTGGGGGGGCCCCCTGCCTTTCTCGAAGGGGGTTCGGTGCCCTGCTCCGGCTCGATCACTGCACCCCTCCAGCTTCAGGGAGAGGAGGAAGAGGAGTCAGCCGGCTTGAGGGCAGAGATGCAAACGCCCGCGGTCACAGCCTGGCTGGGCTCGTGGCGGCCCTCCGCTCCGTGCGGCACGACGCGGAGAAGGCAGGGCCCCGCCCCCACCGGGGTCCCGCTCCCTCCACTGTCTGCTCTGAGAGGAGAAGCCGCTTCAGACAGCGCGCCGATCCTATCCCTTTGTTTTTCAGGAAACGTCAAACGGACCGGCCTCCGCGCGTCTGGCGACCCGTGCTGCCTCGTCTCTGGCGCTCCCTGTACCTGACCACCGTTCTCTGTGTGCTCTCTTCCTGACGAGCGTCGCCCACCACCTCGTCCCTCCGCCTCGTGTCATCCTGCCTCCGGTCCTTGGAGTCTTTGTCGGGGGCTCTGATCTGCAGGTTGGGCGGTCCCCGTCGGAAATGCCTCTGAGGCTTCTAGATCGAAGCAAGAGCCACTCGTGAAAACAGTTCAACGCCCCAGGAGCCGCCACTCCGTTTCCACCTGGGATGCTCTCCCTATCAGACCCAACCCCACGGACCACGTGGAATGGCTGGTGGCGCACGGCCCCCAGAGGAGATGCCTTCCCGCTCCCACGGCAACATGCAGATTTGGCCAGAAGATCCTTTCTCGCGATCTCCGGGCCCTGACCAACCGGGGCGGAGACTGTGCCAACGGGCTGGCGCAGCCCTGGGCAGTGGGTTAGCATCCTGGCCCAGGAGGGTTCCAGGCCGTCACGGACCCTAAAGGTAGCAATAAAGGGTCAGAGCCGCGTCCCCGTGGATGGAGGCGCAAAGAACACTGTCCCGGGCCTGTGCCCCAGGACCCCCACCCTCCGTGCTCAGAACCGGGTGGCCAGCGCACCGGGTCCGGGGACGGAGCGCAGGGGCCCAGGCGTAGCCTGTCGTCGGCAGAGGGCAGGAGGAGGCCCCTCCTCCGCAGGACGCAGCAAGGAGGCCGACTCAGGGATCGAGCACATCTCTGCCGCTCAGTACCCACGGGACCCGTGAAGAGGTCCTCGCTGTAAAGACGCCGGTGCCACGGAGCCGGGACCCCCGTGGCCAGGAGGACGGGATCCGGCCGCACACAAAGCACCGGGGCTGACCCGGGCCTGGGGCACAAGCGCCGGAGTCCGAGCAGCAGGAAAGGTCCCGGCGGCCCCGCCACAAGGGGCCCCGCGCCCCGAGGCCCGGACCCGGGGAGCCGTGCACACCGACCCCGGCCGCCGCCACAGACGGGATCACGGGCCTCCCGAGCAATGGAAGCGTGTCTTTCGGCGGGCAACCGTGCAGGCGGGCTCTGCTCCCGTCGCCGTCACGAGAGCCCAGGTGCGCGAGAGCGGCCGAGAGGAGCGAGAGACGTGCGCGTCGGCTCCACGAGGGAGGACGTGAGCCGTTTGACGCACGGCCTCCGAGTAAGACGGTTTGCAGAGAGGCCTCCTGGCCGCTCCCCGTGGGGCCTGACCCCAGCCCCCTTCCCCGCCCACGCCCTCTGAAACTGCAGCTCCCTGAACAAGCCCAGCTCCCCCTGCCTCGGGCAACGTCACTGGACTCAAGCCCTGCTCTCCCGACTCTACCCAGGACCGGCGGCCGCCCAGTCTCACACCGCAGTTCAGCGTCCCGTCCCCAGCCTCATCCCTGGAGGACACCACGGCCACCGGCCTGCTCCCGCCGGCCCGCGGCTCCCCCAGACAAGGGGCGGGTCTGTTTCGCTCACCAGCAGGTATCCAAGGGGAAGGAAGGAAAGGATATTCCTCCTCCTTGCCCCAAGCGTCATCCTACTGGCTCAGGATAAGGGGCGCAGGGCGCGAACATCAGACAAACAACAAGGGAGAGAACCGCTCCCCCGTCCGTGCGGAACATCACGCGCGGTTCTGAAACGCCCGTGGGACCGACCCCGGTCGCAACCCCACGTGTAGTTCACCGAACATACCTGGGGTAAAAGCCCCGGCGAGTTTTCTGGATTAGCATCTGCCTTCTGAGGAGCCGGCAAGACGGGCGGATCTGCTGGTCTCACCTTCCGCTCTTCCGCTGACCTGCCATCCACGGCTAAACGAGAGAACAGATTTTATCCCAAACGTGCCGCACAGCCCCAAGGAGAGCCCGAGCGAGCGCGCGGAGGAACACGTCTAGGTGGGCGCTCCTCACCACGAGAGGACACCGTGAGACCTGGGGAAGGTCCTTTAAACCAACTCAAGAACGGCCAAGGGTAACCAAACCTTCCTCAAAGCACTTGGCAGCTTCTGTCCTGCAGCCCAGCCCACACGGACCTCCCCTCAGCGGCTTCCCTCCCAGGAAGCGCAGACGCTGGCCTATGTGCAGCTGTCTCCAGCCGCCTGCAGCAGCTCCTGAGCTTTCCTCCCCCACAGGGGTTCCCTACGCCCTCACCCAGACTGCCCGGCCGCTCGGAACACACGGTAACACGTGTCAGGAAGTTCAGGGAGCGTGTCTGGACGGGGCACGCGACCTCAGGACCCGAACATCTCCGTGAGGCGCAGAGGACGGAGAAGCCGGCCCTTACACCGGACACCCAGGAAGCAGGCGGGCAACATCACATTAACTCGAGCCACGTTCTAGCAGGGTGGCTAAAGACACTCTCCGCTCCTTTTCATCTGCGCTTCTCGCCAATTCGCAGACGCTCCAGGCGCTTAAGGCGCACGGCCAGACCGCTTCTGCCCAGCCACCCGCAGTCAGTGACGCACACGCATGGGGTTGAGGCACACGCGCAGCCGGTACCTCTCCACTGGTCAGCCACGCTGATGTAGGACAGGAGCCCGCAGAGCAGGAGAAACGTGAGGAAGAAAAGGATCACGTTGCGCTGTAATCTCGACAGCTGCTTCCATTTCTACGGGACGGAAAACAACACAGCTGGGACACGTGCGACCGCTGCAAATTCAGGGAGGACAGTGGGTAACTCCCAAGGTCCGGTTTCTGAACCGGGGGAAGCGCCCCGGCGGCAGAGACTGACGAGCCGCGGGGATATTCCAGACGGTATAGGGGAACGGAAATAAACAACAGACGCAGAAGCCATACGTGTCCTATCGCAGGGGCCGTGAGGAAAGGCTCGCGCGACGCGCGTGTTCCGTCTCAGGCAGCCGGCGGGACCCCGCATCTGCCCCGATGTGGGGGTGTCGATGCCCTGCAGCCCGAGACCGCGGGGCTCCTGACCCGCCGCACCGAGGGGCAGCCTACAGCTTTCCCCCTCCCCGACCCCGCCCCGCCGAGCGCGGGCTGTAAAGACGGCCTGCGGCCGGCGACCACCGCTCCCCGGGCCCGGACGAGCGCCTGCGCTCCAGGCAGGGGGCGGCGGGCGGGCCGCGGGACCCCGGCCCGGCGCCGACCCTCACCCTCCAGCACGAGCGCCGCCGCCAGCTTTTGCTGCCGTCGTAGCTCTGGCCAAGGCTCAGCGTCACCGAGATGAAGTCCCGATGTGGCGCCGGCGGCGGCGGCGGATACATGACAGCGGTGGCGGCGGCCCGGGCGACCCCGCCCACTGGCGGCGTCAGGAGGCCGGGCTCTGAGAGGCGCCGGGGGCTTCGCTGGTCCGACACCCGCGGGCAGCCATCGCAGCGCCGTCCACACCCCGCCCATCGCGCGCGCGGCCAATGCGCCTGCGCCGCGCCCTCCTAGTCCCCACCGCGCCTGCGCCCGCCCTCGTGGCCCCCCCCCCCGCCCCTGCGTGGGTGTTTACGTCCCGCCGCGTCGGCGCACGGCCGCACCTGCGCCGTGACGCGCTTGCCCGCCCGCGCCTGCGCGCAGCCCGCCGGCGCAGACCCTGGGACTGGGCTGGGTACCGCGTCCCCGGGACCGGCCGGCTCCGTGGGGTTGGCAGGACGTCCGGCGCCCCGCGCTCCCGCCCCGGGGCTCGACTCCCGGCCCCGGGCTGACTTCCCGGCCCAGAGCTAGTGGGGGCCGCAGCTCAGCGAGAGGACAGCGGGTCCGGTGCGAGCCCGAGTCGAGGCGGGGCGGCTGTCGGTGTCCGCTCTTTGGAGCCGATGGGCTTGGGGGCGCGCGGACGGCCGCCGCGGCGAGTTGTGCGCGCGTTTCCCCTCAGTAGACACGCGGCAGGGCGGAGCGAGCCCCGCAGCGCCGAGGGCCGTCCCCGCTCCTTGCCGGCCCCCTCGGGTGAGCCCGCCGCCTCCCGCAGTCCTGGCCGCCGCACTTAGGGGTGTGTGGCGGGCTCCCCGGCGTGTGCGCCTCCCTGGCTTGTCTGAAGCTGCCCCAGAAAGCGCCTCCTGCTCTCCGCCCCCCCCCCTTCCCTAGCGGGGGTCATCCCCGAGGCCCCTGCGGGTCTTTTCCCCACACAGGGCTCTGCCGGTAGTGCCAGCGGTGCCCTCGTGCGTCCGTCCCTGCGCATGCCGACAGCAGGGAGAAGGTGGTATCTGGAGGGTGGGTCACCGGGCTCTCCAGCTGAGGGCGCGGGAGCCCACCCCTGGAGACCTAGCCGGGGTGGGGTGGGGTGGTTCTGCCCCACCCCCACCCCCACCGCAGCGTGTCAGACTCACTAGGTGGTCCCTGGCCTCCCTGAGACCCTGGCGAAGAGCTGGGTGGGAGCTCGAGGGGACTCCTAGGCCGCCCAGAGCAGGTGCGGGCTCAGCGTGTGGACTCTTGCTCTGTCGGATGCACGGAGCTGGGAACCCCTGGTTGCCGTTCCCAGCACCCGTGCCGGTCAGAAACTGCGCTCGCCAGGCCAGGGATCAATCACGGCATCTTGCGTTTATTGGGAATCCGCCACGTTCTGCGGGAAATCAAGGAGTTTGGCAGCCTCTCAGAAGCCCGTTGCTTCCTTATCGGTTGTCTGGGGAGGGACAGTTTTGTGCTGAGGGGCCCGTCCTGCTTCTTGAGTGCAGCGTGCACAGCAGCGCGCACGTGTGAGCAGTGACCTAGGGCTCCACCCGTGTTCCTGGTTTGGGGACGTGCTTCAATCCTGTGGAAAAGCCTTTCCGAAGGCTCTTGTGCCCCCGGATCTCTGGGCCGTGTTTGGAACTTTACGCGCAGCTGTGATTCTTTTACAATAAACGGGGTCTTTTTTTTTTTTTTTAACTTTTAATTTTTTTTTTTGAACGCTTATTTTTGGGACAGAGAGAGACAGAGCATGAACGGGGGAGGGGCAGAGAGGGAGACACAGAATCGGAAACAGGCTCCAGGCTCCGAGCCATCCGGCCAGAGCCTGACGCGGGGCTCGAACTCCCGGACCGCGAGATCGTGACCTGGCTGAAGTCGGACGCTTAACCGACTGCGCCACCCAGGCGCCCCTAAACGGGGTCTTTAAAAACAGGCCGTTTCAGTAGCTCCCCCAGCTGGTGTAGGAAAGAGGCTGCCCGGTCGTCGGGCTGTGGCAGTGAGGAGCAGCAGCTGTGGGCAGGACCCCGGACCTGGGCCCCCGCCTTGGCTGGCACTCCTCTGTCCCAGGCCCTCTGCTTGCCAGCGGAGCAGCTGGGAGAAGCGTCGTAAGGCACGCGGTTCGGTTCTGAGGTCTGCGAAGGACTGGCACAGCGCGGGTGGGAGCAGAGTCCTCCTCTGGGCTTTGGGCCTGGCCCCGACCCCGCCGCCACGCCCAGGTCCGGGTGCGGGGACACCCGTCCACCCTCCGCTAGTCCACTACGAGCCACTGGAGGAGTCAGCGGCCTCTGAACCCACCGCCCAGCTGACATCCTTGCCCTGGGGAAACCGGCTTCCGTGGGGGTGTCGCCGCAGCGTGAGGGCGTGGGAGCAGGCGGCCTGGCGGAGCGGCAGGCTGCATTCCACGCCGCCCTTCGCGTCAGCGGGCGGGGAGGTGCCCCGTGCTGCTTTCCGGAGGGGAGAGCAGCAGGCACTGGGGCCCGGAGCAGCAGGGCTAGGGGCCGGGGGCCAGCGGGTCTTCCCCAGCCTCGGTGGGGCCGCAGGGGTGCAGCGTGGGGACCGTGGCCCCGTACGTGGAGTCTGTGTCTCCCTCCAGAGAGCGCGGGAGGTCCGTGAGCACCGAGATCTGTCAGAAGCTACTAGCAAGCTGGTTGGGGGACGGTGCTCCCCGCCTGCTTATATTTCAGACCAATTAGCCACCACGTGCGGCCACTGGAATTGGTCCGACTGGTTGTTGGGGAAAAGAGCTAAAATTCAGCAGCCTGAACCAACCGTAGCCCTGGCCGAGGAGCCAAGGCCTCCAAGGGAGATTGAGAGAATTCAGTTTTAGGTGTGCAGGCTGTGCGTGGGGGGTGGGTGGGGGTAGCTGGTGGGCACTGGGGGGCTGGAGGGCTAGGCCGTGACACCCCCCCCCCCCCCCCCCCCCCGCCCCCGCCATGCCAGGTACTTGGTCAGCTGCAAGAGAGGGAGGGAGCGGCACCTGTGGACAGGTCACCCTGCAGGGGACGGACACCGTCCCCTCCTCTCGCCTCGTCCGTCCGTGGGTCTGCAGAAAAGCTGGAG